CATCTCTTAGCGATCAGAGCATGGGTTCCTGTTTAGACTGTGGAAATTGAGCAATCCAGCGGCGAAGCGGACAGGTGGTGCAAACAGCTGTCGCTGTCTATCTTATCTCTTCAGTGTGAGATAGAAGTAATTGGAAGGCGATCCCTTTCTGTTTTCATTCATCTGCATGTTCATATCAATAGCTGTCTGCGCAGCTCTGCCGGTGACAGGCAGAGAGATTGGTCACACTTTTCTGGGATCCCTCCCTGGTATGGTGGCTGGGCTTCTTGGTGACAGTCTTCTGGAGTCCTTGAGTTAACAGAGATGTCCTCTTCTGAGGTTCTTTGTTTTCAGTGTGACCCAACTGCAAGCTCCCACTGGTCACAACTTCTGAACAGAAGGAGATTTAAATCAACCTCATTGAGATGGCTCAGTGGCTACAGCGCTTGCTGCATAAGCATGAGGACTTGAGTTTGGATCCCTAGCATCCATGTCAAAAGCTGGAGTGTGGTGACATATGCCTGTAACTCCAGTGCTGGGTGGGGAGGTGGAGACAGAAGGATTGTTGGGGCTCACTGGCCAGCCAGTATAGCTGAATTGGCGAGCACAGTTCAGTGAGAAATCTAGTCTCAAAAATAAGGTAGAGGGGCTGGAGAGACATCTCAGCAATTCAGAGTATGTACTGGCTGTTCGTGCAGGGGACAGTTCAGTTCCCAGGACCCACACTGGGTGGCTCATAATCACCTGTAACTCCAGCTTCAGGAGATCCGGTGTTCTCTTCTGGCCTCCTCAGGCACTTGCACTCACATGTGCAAATCCACATATGCCCATTGTATTAGTTACTTTTCTGTTGCTGTGATAGAAACACTATGACCAAGGGAATGTCAAAAAGAAAGAGTTTATTTAGCTTATGGTTTCAAAGATGCAAGAGTCCATCATGGTGGGGAGGCATGGCATCAGAGGTGGCTGGAACAGAAACTAAGCTCTCACATCTTCAAGCAGGCACAGGAAACAATACATGACTGGAGATTCTGCAAGGCTTAAGAACTCTCTAAGCCCATCCCCTAGTGACATACTTCCTTCAGCATGGCTATACCTTCTAAGACCTCTCAAAACAGTGCCACCAACCGGGGACAAAATGTCTGAATACTCTGAGCCTATGGGGGACATTTTCATTCAAACTACCACACCCATAATATTTTTTAATCTCAAAAAACAAGGTTGAGGGACTGAAGACATGGCTCAGTGGTTAAGAGCACTGATTGCTCTTGCAGGGGACCTAGGTCAAATCCCAGCACCCACATGGTGGCCAGCAACATTCACAACTCCAGTTCCAGGGGATCCAATGCCCTCTGCTGACCTCTGCGGGCATTACACAAAATGAGTGCACTTACACACATGCAGGCAACACACTCATACACATAAAATAAAAATAATAAGGTTGAGAATGACTGAGAAAGATATCCATCAGCACACAAATATCACACATACATACACGAAAAGAATGGAAGTGTGTTAATGTACCTTTAAGAGTTGAAATGCAGTGGTGGTGAACACAAAAAGTGATTCTGATATGAATTCAAGACCAAAGTTTGGATGATAGATTTAAATACTTGAGGAAGGCATAGTGATGAAGACAAACATTCCAGTTTATAGGGAGATAAATTTCCTCTCTTGTTTAAATTACCTTAAAATGGTTTTAACACAATATACGCCTGTCTTCCAGAGATTTACACATCACAAATTTTAATTTCTGTTCAATCTATAATGCACTGTGCTCATATGGCCATAGATCAACCTCCATGGAAATCTGCAGGGAATGGGATGTGATTATCACATCCGTTTCTAGTGCTGGTGGCTGTGAAGGTGTCAGAGAGGAGAGATCAGACCCCTCAGGTGGGGTCAGCAGGTGATTGGTTACTCTGGTCTGCAGCTCAGATTCTCTGACCATCCCTGTGGCCTCTTCTGGAGGGGCTGCTGAGCCTGTATCCTACTGTGTTTAGCAGAGTCACTATGTGGGCACAAAGCTCTCTCCTGATGTCTAACAGAATGTGGGACTGCTCAAGGCAACTGCCTTCTATGCAGTGCCCCTTGATTCTCTTGCTAATTTCACAGGAATTATTTCCCTTTTATTTTGCAAAATGTTAAACTGTACAATGTATTATTGAAGGAGCGATTGCTCTGGAGAGCTCCTCTTGTTGGATTTTTCTCGTTCTCAATTCCCCTCAGTCCAGAGAGGAGACAGCAGATTTCCTCTGAGGTACTCGCTTACCAGCAATGATGTCCACTGAGGAGGATACCTTGCTAGGACAGTAACCACAGCCACTTTAAGATCAAAGTTGTGACTGTGCCTATTGCTGGAAAAGTGAAATGAGGGTACTTGCCTCTCAATTTAATGTGATTGTATTATAACAAATAACCAATTCTAGATTCCCTCAGCCATGGTGCAAGTCATAGCCCCTAAACACTATGATTTTCCAGTATTTAGAGGGATGTTACTCGATGCATTTAACTTTATCTTCTGTCCTCCTCACCCCCGGGTTAATACTTGGCCCACTTTTAGAAATCGTCTTTGCTCTTCCCTTTCAGTTTAATGAAGGGTAACAGCCAATGGTTTTAGTTTCCTTCTGCATTAAACCCCAACAATAGTATGGGTTGACTTTTGAATGCAGATTATAAAAGCCGAGAGACTTAGGGAGACGCTTGGGCTAGGGGATGACCAGAATAGAGAGTAGGGCGTTCCTGTGATGAGATTCCCAAGCCTTATGATCAGATGTTATTATGGTTTGAGTGTGAAATGTCTCCCGCTGGCTCCTGTGTGTGGATGTTTGGTCCTCAGATGGTGGTTCTGTTTTGGAATATAGTGAAACCTTTGGTAGAGGTTGGTTACTGGGGACAGACCTTCGAGGGTTGCAGCCTACTACCATTTCAGGTCAAGCTCTCAGTTTCCTAATCTATAAAATGTGAATAAACTGTACTGAAAGTTTCCACTGCCATGGATAGAGCCACATGGGCCAGCTTGCCTTCCCCACCATGGTGGGCTATCTGCCTTGAAACGGTAAGCCTAGTCTCTCCTCTTTTAAGTTGTGTGTTGTGTGTGTTAGGTATTCTGTCACAGCAAGGAGAAAAGCAAGAAAGACAGATGTGTTTGGAAAGTTGTTTTCTGGAAGTATTAGAAACATTTGTAGCTTGGATTTAATGGATTAATAGCTGTGCTGGTTAGTTTTTGCCACACTGACACAAACTAGCTACCTGGGAAGAGGGAATCTCATTTGAGGAACTGCTTCTGCTTTCATCATAGGTCTGTGGACATGTCTGTGGCATTTTCTTGACACTTGAGTGATGTGAGAAGGCCATTCCTGGGCAGGTGAGCCTTTGCCGTATAAGCCTGTAGTTGAGCACAGCCCAGAGGAGCAAGCCAGCATATTAGTCAGTTTTCTGTTGCTGTGATAGAAACACTGACCAAAGCAACATAAAAGGAGGAAGAATTTATTTGAGCTTATGGTTCCAAAGCAAGAGTCCATCACGGCAGGGAGGCATGGTGGCCGAGGTGGTTGGAGGAGGAGCAGCTCTCACACCTTCAAGCATGCATAGGAAACAAGAGAGTGACTCGAGATCCAAAAAGGCTTAAGAACTCTCTAAGCCCACACTGAGTGACGTGCTTCCTCCAGCATGGCCACATCTTCTCAGACCTCCCAAAACAGCACCACCAACTGGGGACAAGATGTCCAAATACTTGGAGACTATGGTGGACATTCTCATTCAAACCATCACAGACAGTAAGCAGCATTCCTCCCCAGTCTCTGCTTCAGTTCCTGCCTCCAGGTTCCTGCCTTAAGCTCCTGCCCTGGCTTCCCTCAGTGATAGATTGTAACCTGGGAGTTGTAGGCCGAAATAAACCCTTTCCTCCCCTAGTTGCTTTTTGATTAGTGTTTTATTGCAGTAACAGAGAAGCTAGGGAGAACACCAGTCTTGGAAAACAAGAGAGAATGGGATGAACTTGGAAGACAAAACTCAGCCTTGCCCTCATTTACTGCATTAACAACAAAGTCAGTGGGGGGCCTGAGAGAGGGCTCAGTGGGTAAAAAGTGCTTGCTGCCAAGCCTGATGACCTGGCTTTGAATCCTGGGACCCACATGATGGAAGAGGAGAATAAACTCCCACAAGTTGTCCTCTGATTTCCACATGCATATCATGGCACATGTAAACTCTCCATGCACACACAATAAATAAATAAATAAATAATCCAGCTTGCTGCAATTTAAAAACTGGCGTGTACAGGGCTGGAGAGATGGCTCACCAGTTAAAAGCACTGACTGCTCTTGCAGAGGACCCAGGTTTGATTCCCAGTACCTACATGGCAGCTACAAACCGTCCTTAACACCAGTTCCAGGGGAATCTGAAGCCCTCTTCGGACCTCTGTGGCATTGCACAACACAGGTGCCATCACATACATGCAGGCAATACACTCATACACATAAAAAAATAAAAATAATTTAAAAATATTTACTATACAAGGTCCTGAACTAGGATCCCCAGCATCCCCACAAAAAGCCAGGTCCAGAGGTGTGCACCTGTAATCCTGCTGCTAGGAAATGGAGACAGAGATCCTAGGAGCTGGCTGGCCAGTCAGACTAACTGAACTGTCAAATTTCAGATTCCAGTGAGAGAGTCTGCCTCAAAAATTAAGGTGGTGGCACATGCCCTTAATCCTAGTACCTGGGAGACAGAGGCAGGCAGATCTCCATGAGATCAAGGACAGTCTGGTCTACATAGGGAGTTCCAGGCCAGTTGGGGTTACAGGGAGACCCTGTCTCAAAAAAACTGTGGAGAGTGATAGAGGATAGATACCTAGCATTGACCTGTGGCCTCCACATGCACCTCCCCCACCACATGTGAATGCATACATACAAATAAATAAAGTCTGTGGAATACAGAACAGCTATTTTGTTTGCCTGGATCTGTGGGTATGGGGTGCAACCTGAAAATACTGCCCTCACCGAAGATGGTCTGAGCGTTACCTATGATGGAGAGGAAGGCTTTGGCCCTGGCTGGCTCGAATGCGCTCCCCTGCAGCGTTGCCTCACACACATACAGCCCTGTGTCTGCCGATGTGGGGTTGCTGATGGTGAGGCGCCTCCCATAGCTGTGCAGCCCACTTGTGAGTCGTACTCCATTTCTCTTCCAGTGCATGCTCAGCTCCTCCACGGGCCTGCAAAAGAGCACAAGGGCATTGGTGACAGTGATTGTGAATCATGTAGACAGCAATAATAATAATTTCAGGCATTCAGCACAAGCTTGACAAAGCTAATTCTACTAGGAACCATGGCGGGTTGAACAATGGACATTTAAAAATCAATCCAGATACGGCTCCACTCCCTCTCCTTACGCATCGACGACACATTCTGCTCAAGGGCTATTGAGCAAGGATAGCTAATTGCAGCGGCAATGGACCGTACATGCTAATGATTCCATTTGCTCAGGAAAAGAATGTTTAAAATAAATACTACTAGGGGATACCACAGCTACATGGGAGGTGTGACCATCCAAACTCCAGCTGGCAGTGGCCAGGAAGCAGGCAGGACACACGTAGAACTGCAGGGGAGAGTAGTCAACTTTTCTCGGCTGCCCGGGGTTCTCATTCTTCTCTCATCCAACAGCTCACGTCATTGAGGAGAACGTCCATCACTTAGAGCTAAACTCAAAAGCTCCACCCAGTTCCGAAGGCAGTGTGATGAAGGATCTGGCATGTGGTTCCTCGTGTTCACACACATGCGATGTGCAGAGCCTCGAGGACAGGCAATCCTGCTGTTGGCTGGAGTGTGGTGATCCCTTGAAACTCTTCCCATCCCGTCGCTGGCATATCCACTAGGCATTTTCATGTCTGTGTCTGTACATGTGTGTGTATTTGTGTGTACATGTGTCTTTGTGTGTGCATGTGTTTGTGTATATGCGTACACGTGCACGTGTTTGTGTGCATCTGTGTGTACATGTGAATGCATGTGGATGCTACAGGTTACTCTTGAGTGTCCATTTCCATCAATCACTCTTCACCTTATTTTTTTTGAGACAGGGTCTCTTGAAGACCTGCCACTTGCCACACTGGCTAGACTGGCTGGCCAGGGAGCCCAGGGATCTCCCTGCCTCTGACCCTCCAATGCTGGGATTGGAGGCACATGCTAGTGGACCCAGCTTTTCCAGGGGTTCTGGGGATCCAAACTCAGGTCTTCATGCTCGTACTACTGGTTAAGCCATCTCCATGGTCTCTAGTCAGATTCTGCATGCCTTATGTGAAATGTCAGGTATCAGATTTACTTCGCATTTGGGTTTTTTTTTTTTTTCCTTTTCTTTACTTTGGAGTGTACATAATGAGACATCATGGGGATGGCATCCAAATCTAATCATGAAATTCATTTATGTTTCATCTACCCCTTGCACACAGAACCCAAAGGGAATTCCATACAATATTTTTAGTGCACCTGTATTTTGACTGTGGAACCCATCACATGGGCTCGGGGTGAAATTTTTTGCTAGTAGTGCCATGTATAAGGCTGATTATTTCAGGATCTGGGCTCTCACATGAGGGATGTTCAACCTGTGTTCCCATGTCCCAAGTATACTCCATACCTGGCATTGGCTATGCACTCCAAGGTAGTCTCACTGGAGCCTGCCACCACACTCCTGTTTCCCGGGGCAATCACGATGATGGGGGCCATGGCTTCAGGGGTGCCAGTGTCTCCTATGACAGAGAAAAAAAAACCTATAGAAATTTCTTTGTGATGGAAGATGGCGTGGTTGGGATAGAACAGATGAAGGGTCTTGTCAAGCCACATCAATAGGAAACACAGAACCTCAGAATTTACCAGGGCCCCTCTGGGGAACCTGGGTATTATATGGTCACGTTGCCCCTGGCCTCTCTCAGACTGCATGTGCTGGAATCTAGGTATACCTGCCTCTTTTGCTGGCATCCCAGCCACCAGGACCCCGACACCTAACAGCTGCATGTCACTACAGGGTACACTGTGCATTCAAGGGCTCTACATTTTCCAAAATACGTCCAGGTATTACCATATTTGATTTTTCATTGATTTAAGCATTTTCTTATTGAAATCGCCTGGCATAGCCACAGTAGTAATCTAGATTGTCAACTTGAAGAGCTTTAGAATCACTATGGAAAGAAACTACTGGGCATGTCTGTGAGGGAGCTTCTAGACTGGGTTAACTGAGGTGGGAAGACCCCACCATAAATGTAGATGGTATCAACCCACAAGCTGGGGTCCTGGACTGAATAAACAGGAGAAAGCAAGCTGAGCACAAGCATTCATCTCTCTCTCCTTCCTGACTGTGGATGCCATGTGACCATCTGCCTCACGTTCCCACTGCCATGCCTTCCTACCATGATGGACTGTGCCCTCAAACTGTGAGCCACAATAAACCCTTCCTCCCTGAATTTGCTTTTGTCAGAACTTTTGTCATAGCAATGGGAAAAATAACTAATATATCCACTGTTTTCCAATTAGTTAAACTGCAAAAGTATGTCATGAGTCAGGAGCTCTGGTGAGCATGGGGGCCAATAGGAAACTGGCGGTATATGACGTCCCAGCATGAACACATTAAGTTATCCCTGTGCTCAGTCTCTTACTGTGGTTTCTCTCCCTTTTGCTCTTCTGCCAAGTAAATATCCAGAATCCATCTCTGTTTTGTGAGTATCAAACTATAAATAATTTAGGATTATATTGCTGGAAACAGAAAGGAAAAGAAAGTTGTATGTATTTTTGCTGCTTTTCTCTAAAATACACTTAGCATTGAAATTAAACTACCCACAGCAACTCTACTACTGTTTATCTAAAGAAAATCAAGATCAAACATTTATAGAGCAGGAATTTCAATAAAGGGTGCAGACTTAAGGGATGGGAGGAAAAACCAAGTTTAAATGACTGAAATGCAAAATGCCCTTTCTAGTCCTTGAGAGTGAGAAGTCAGCACAAGTACCATTGTAGCCACTTAGAAATCTGGCTCCTGAGAGCTTCAGTCCTGTGGCAAACTCACGGCTATGGAGAAGCAAGGACAGGGAAAAGACGGCTGGCCTCTGATAAGCACAGATTCCCCCCAGCTTTGTGCCTGGGATTTCTTGCTTAAGGAGTAACCTATTATAAAAAGGGGGATAGAATGACAGGGGAGATGGCTCAGTTAGGAAAGTGCTTGCCTTGCAAACATGAAGACCTGAGTTTGATCCTTACATACAGGTGTGGTGGTGCGACATTTGTGATCCCAGCACAAGAGAGCAGAGATGAGCAGATCTCTGGGGCTATTGACAAATAGCCTGGTCTATGCAGCAAGTTCCAGGCCAATAAGAGAACTTGCCTTTAAAAAAAAGTGAATGTTGCTCCAGGAATGAGAATCAAAGGTATACTCTAGATGCCACATGTACACATACATGTGCACCTGCACACGTGTGCAAACACACATACACACAAAGAGAAAGAAAGAGAGAAACAGAGAGAGAGAAAAAGAGATAGAGAAACAGAGAGCAAGGGAGAGAGAGTGAGCCAGGTGTGGTGATATATACCTATAATAGTAGAACTTGGGAGGCTGAGGCAGGAGGGTCTCGAGTTCAAGACCAGTTTGGGCTACATAGCCAGACCTTATCTCCAAAACAAATAGGAAGTAAGTAAGTAAGTAAGTAAGTAAGTAAGTAAGTAATTGCTACACAAGCATAAGGACCTGAGTATGGATCTCCAGCACCCACGTAAAAAGTCGGGCACACATATTTAATCCCAGCATTGGGGAGGTAGAGACAGGAGGCTTCTTAAGGCTCACTGGCCAGCTAGTCTAGCTGACTTGGTGAGCTGCAGGTTCAGTGAGAGGCCGTGTCTCAAAAATAAAGTAGAGAGAGATGAAGAAAGATACTTAAAATAAACTTCAGGCCTCCACATGCACATGCACACACATGCATGCACACCTGTACACACATTTGAACACATGTGCCCACACATATGCACAAATAAAAATAACATAGTACCGAGTACAAGTAGGGCCAGCGAATACATTTTCTTAAACTTGCACATTGATTTCATGATGGGAGACCGATTCTCATGTATTCATGGGTGCCTAGGGAGCTAGCAGCTGCCCTGGCCTCCCCCAAATCCTAGCCTCTGAGAGACCTCCTCCAGGGCTCCCCTTGGAATCTGCCTGCTGACCATCTCCTTGTAGATACTTCAGGGATGGCCTGCCAGATGTCAGACTATTACGAGGGTCAGAGCATACTGAAGGCCAATCTGAGGAGCACTCCACCCATCACCTGTGAAAGCTGCTGATGAGGAGAAACGGTCCAGGGGGATATTTGCAAAAAGTCATAAGGAGTGAAAGAGAGGAGTCGGGGGAGCTGAAAGGTCACTGAGCGAGGTGCTCACTTGTCATTAATCACTTGTGGTCACTGCAGCAGAGAGAAAGCCCACACTCAGCATGTGTCACTACCTGGGGAAGATGGTCCCAACTGGAACCTGTCCTGCTCAGGCTAACAGGAAAGATTGCACACTGGGCAGTGCTATACAGCACTATCCTATGAGCAGAACCTTCATCTCCATAAGATCAATTGTGCCTGCTTGCAAAGATCAGCACAGCTTGGTTTGACTGCTGACATTCCCTTCTAGAAGGACCAGGTGGGAAGATCACAGAACCCTCATCTGAGTATCCAGCCACTCACCAAGCCACTCCTCCAAGCATGCAATTCTGCCCCTACTGCACATGGCACTGGGGTCTTAGGAGGAGCTGGAGTATATTGGTTGGGGAAAGCTAGGAAAGAGGACTCCATCTGTACAGCCATGGGGGAGTCATTACCCAGTCTAAGTGCAGATTTCCAGAGCAGCTGCTTTGGGGTCACCCACACTCCTGCCCATAACCCCTCACCATGCTCTGTGAGTAAGCCTAATGAACTCATTGTTTCCCCAGGGTGAACTTTGGTAGATTTGATCTTTAGTTTGTTATTGGGACCTTAGAAGGGGATGAGTAGAGGTTGCCCAGTTCCCCTTCCCTGCTCCAAGGAGAAAATTCTCAAAACAGGTAGCTGAGGACCAGACTGAGTTCACAGCCCCTTGGTGACAGTGGGGCAAAGGTGCCCTTCCCTCCTGGGTTCATGAGTCCCAGACCAATGACTAGCATCACACTTTATTTATTTTTATTTTATGCGTATGAGTATTTTATCTGTACGTGTGTAAGTGCACTGCATGTGTGCAATGCCCACGGAGGCCAGAAGAGGGAATCAGATTCCCTGGAACTGGAGTTACAGATGGTTGTTAGCCACCAGTCATGTAGATGCTGGGAATCAAACTTGGTTCCTCTCCAAGAGCAGTCAGTGCTCTTAACTGCTGAGCCTTATCTCCAGCCCTTGACATCACACTTTAAGCACACATAAATCCTCTGCTGCAGGGCACTCTCACCCGACAGAGAAGTAGGACCAGTGCACTTGCTTCATTGAAGGTCACCAGATATCAGCCTGTTCTCTAGCTCAGACCCCCTAACTCCAGCTCCTATGTTCCATCCAGTGATGCTGGGATCACATAGGACATTAGTGGAAGAGGCAGAAGGTGAGAGATGTAGATGAAATGCAGTTGTGCCTACAGTCAGCAACTGCAGTAGATACACAAGACTGCCAGAAAGGTGAGTTTGACCTGTGCAAACATCCACAGCAAGGCCACAGCGGTTGAAGAGCTTCTGATCACAAAATTCACATGGTTACTATAAAAACTATGCAAAAACACTGCAGTAGTATTGTGTGGATAAGTAACTGGAATCCAGACATCCAAACAGCAAGGACACCATTCGTTATAGCACACAGTTCCTTTGGTTGTGCTCTGTTAACCAAAAGGAAACAAACTAGAACTCTCTGCTTCCCAGCCATTTCCTTAATGGAAGGTGTCAAGGTAGCTTTCTGTGTTGAACCTGCCTAAGTTGGGTTAGGGTTGGAGATACTGAATGAAGAGAAGCTCTGCAGAAGGTCTCAGAAGCCAGTATCTGTACACTGGGCAGCTTTAGAAGCAGAGTCTCAAGCCCTTGAGTGAAGTTCTGTGTGCTCAGCAATAAAGTCATCACGGCAGAATGACCCTAATCCCAGCCATCGCCCCACCACTTTACTTCTTGAAGAGGCTAAATGAAGAGAGGTTGCCCAGATTACATTTAATTAAATAGGATGTTTAAAGAATACATGGGCTGGGGAGACGGCTCAGTCTATAAAGTGCTTGCTATGCAAGCAGGAGGCCCTGAGTTTGCTCTACAAAACACATGTAAAAAAGCCAGGAGTAGTGTGTGTCTGTGATCCCAGCACTGGAGAGACAGACAGGCAGATCTTCAGGGCTCACTGGCACATGCTTAGCATACCTGGTGAGCTTCGGGCTAGTGAGGGACAAAGTAGAAGTGGACACACACAAATAGTGTCTCAAACAGGCAAATAAAATTTCTGAGGCAAGGCAGGGCTGGAGAGATGGCTCAATGGTTAAGAACACTTGCTGCTTTTGCAGAGGACCCAAGTTCAATTCCCAGCATTCACATTGGATGGCTTGACTCACAACAACAACCTATAACTCCAGCTCCAGGGTATCCGATGCCTCCATGAGCACTTATACACCTGTATACAAACCAGCAAACACACACACACACACACACACACACACAAAAATAAAGATCTTTAAAAAAAAGTTCTAAGGCAATCCTAACTGCTAAGCTGTGGAATTACTGCAGACA